GATGCAACAGTGCAGTCCACTCCAACAGTGGAGCTAAAGATAATGTGATGACAATATAGTTGAACAAGCAGTGCAGCATATATTTGTCCATGGCAAATATTCACACTCCCCAAGAAGGATGCCTGATGTCAACAAGGCTCAGGTGGGAGTCAACTCTGTATCTCCTGAATCAAGAGGGATATTTAAAAGTCTAGAGGCAGCAGAAATGTAGAGACAACTGTTTTTCATATAAAAAGACTGAATGATAGAGAAATCAATTAAGAAGACTGTTAACAACTACTCAGCTTCAGAGTGATGAAGAACACGGCAAAGAGCCTCTAACACCTGATGGAAAAAGGAGAAACAAGAAAAAAGAAACACCAACTCTGACTTGCTTTACACCAACTCTATGTCTTTTTTTGACATTACCAATCATCAATAAGAGCCATCCTCAGTCAGTTAGGAGCTTTTCCTTGTGACGTTTTTTTTTTTTTTACTTTGTTCTCACCAGGATTCCAAATGTGAGCAGTAACTAGTCTAACTAGTGGTGAGTGGAGCAAGGAAACTAAGTGAGAATATCATGAGGTGAGTGGCTGATTCTCCCCCCACCCCACTCTCTGTCAGTTTATCAGCCCTGAACTGGAGAACATATGGTTCTCCAGATGTTGTTGAATTCCAGCTGTGTGAGATCTGACCAATACAGCCAATAACAAAAGATTATAGGGATGGTAAACCAAACAACATTTAATGTAGCACACATTTGCAACCTCCTACTTAATTTAAAGTACTCAATATTTTATCGTTTTAGCACACAGAAGATCCTCAGGATCAGGTAAGGCGGATTAAAGCAAAAATAAGAATAAAATACTGATGGTGCTGTTGGCAAGAAACAGGATCCCTTCTAGGACCATCAAAGTTCACCAAAACCACTGTAGAACAGCTTCCTTTTGAATATGTCAAGAGTGGCTTGGTGGCAGGGGAATTAGGGAGCCCTATATCATGTCTCCTTTACCTTTTCTTTTCTAGCCTGAGGTATACAGTACCTGAATGTGTCCTGCATATTGTTTATTTGCTCTATATTGCCCATCTCGCTGTCTGGAGGAACTTTTAGACAGTTTTCTTCTCTCCCTTAGGCCCATTGCCATTTAAAAAATAAAAGCAAAGCTTCTTCATAGTCATCCTACAAATATTCAAGATAGATAATTCTCTTCTTCAGCCTGTGATATGAATGTTATAAACCATTTCTTCCCAAACAGTTGAACAAATGTCTCGGCCCAGTTTTATTTTGTTCCATTCACTTTATTTCAGGAAAGAAAAACTGGAAGGGCAATTTTTGTAAGATGAGATGTTTAGCTACTCAGGAATACTGTCATGTAACCATAACCGGATTGCAGAATGGACACATGGTCATCCAAAACAGACATGAGATACCTTTAAATTGTTGACACACAATGTGTAAAAATGAAGTAAAAGCCTGTAAATGGGGCCATGACATAGTGTGTCTTATTGCTTTGAGAACTTAAGGCAAGGTGGCCTATATTTACCCACAAACATGATGGTTTTAAAATTACATATTTAGATCTCTGCATATCATTCTATTTTTTTAAAAAAGATGTCTCTTCAGCTGTTAACCCATCCATCTTTTTTCATTTTCACATTTCCAATCAGAAAGGCATGCTCTGAATATAGCAGTTTGAGATTTTTTTTTCACAGGAAGACGGAAGTTCATTCTTCCTGAATAGACACACACACACACACACACACACACACTTCCTATCTTCCTATCTTATTTTTGGGATTTATTTCTTAAAACTCAGAGAAGTTATATTATAAAGATAAATATGGTAAAGAAGTTACTTCTGTCTGATCATTCCCTCAGCATTTAATTGTATAAACAAATGTGAAAAACTATTAACCAACGAAATGTCTATCCCAAGCTAGCCCTGCCCTTTTTTACCTCTTAAATGTCTTGACTGGGGATTAAGAGTGCAATCTGTAACCTTTTTGCTGGAAGTAGATTTTGGAGAAGATGTGAATAAGACTGTACAGTTCATCTTTTCATTTCCTCTCTATTCTATCTTCTCCTCACTCCTTGGCCCCCAATTAATGCATACTTCTCTTTCTGCTGTTGTGTTAAATGTTTGATAGCACTTAAAAAAAAAGATAATTCATTTAAAGGCAATCTGATGAAGCTGAAGGATAAACTTAAAATTAAAATATTCATACAGATTTACTGGGCATGCATATACAGGTAATCTTCTGCTTAACAAACATGTGTTTAGCAATCATTCGAAGCTGTGATGATGCTGAAAAATGTGACTTATAACCAGTCCTTATACTTGTGATTGTCTCAGTGCCTCTGAAGTCACACGATCAAGTCAAACAATCATTATGGACATATGATGATTGCATTATAAATCATGGGTCACATGGTCATAATTTGTGATCTTCCCAGCAGGTTCTAGCAAGTAATATAGATGTAAGAGGACAAATTCCCTCAATGACTATGTGCTTCACTTAATGACCGCAGTGATTTCCTTAAGAATCCTGACAAAAAGTTCATAAAATAGAGCATTTCTTAACAATTTGTTTCTCTTAGCGATGGACCCATACAGTCATGCACAAGCTTAAAGAGATTTTATTGGCAAAAAAGAATTGAGCATTCTGCTAACACTTGTCACTTTCTATATTCATGTTCCAAGAATAAATATACTCTGTTCACAGAAAAATGGAATAGATAAAGACTCAGGACATACATCGCTTGTTGCAAATTTTTACTGAGCTGATGGTGTAAAGGAGATTATAAGGAGTTATAAAGATACCAATTACTTATACATTTCTTCTGCTAGGAGCTGGACAAAATCAAAAGGAAATGGACATTGATTGAGAACTATTTCAATATTCCTAATTAATGTAGTCTTCCAAAATGGTATATCAAAGGCAGGCTTATCTATCTTTGTAAACAACTCAGGGTAATCTTCTTCCACAATCGTATCCAGTTGTTTAAACAGATACCCTTAACAAGGGAACTGTCCAGCAAAAGAAAAACAAACTCTGCAGACAGTACTTCTGTTACGGTACCTTTAATGTGATACTGCATTTCAAAGGGATCTCTTTAACACAGGATGCCTCATTGTTACTGAACACCTTGCAGGAATCTTTCAGAATTGATCTTTTTCCTGGTGTATAAGAGTCTACATTAGCCAAGATAAATGATAAATAATATGGTGATAAATATTGTAAGCCAGCATTTCTCAACTTTGGCAATGTTAAGATGTGTGGAATTGGCTGGCTGAAGAATTCTGGGAGTTGAAGTTCACACATTTTAAAGTTGCAAAACTTCAGAAACACTGCTGTAAGCTAAATAAATAAGGACTTATTCCAACTTAGATGGCCTACCCATTCAATTAGCAATCATTTTCCAATACTCACAATAAATATTTGCTTTCATTTCTGCTATTTTTTCAGTGATCTTTCAATCATCCCAAATGAATATTTTTCTCTTCTCTCTGTCTTCCACCAAACCTCAGTTATCATTATGCTGTCTTTCACCCAGATTTATGAGATCAACTATAATAACAATAAAAATTAGGGACAAGGAACCTCTTCTAGTTTGACGGAGGGTGTTTCTTTTACTTGTTCAAACTTTATTTTATGGAGAAGCATTAAGCTATGCCAGCTTTCATCTCTCTAAAGTAATTGAATCCTGCTAGTTTTTTCACTTCAAAAAGAACTACATTTTCTGAGCCACAAATCTATTAATCCACCAGAAGAAATCGATACATCAAAAATAGCCCAGGCTTTTATCTGCCAGTTTCTTTTCTATCACACTTTATTTGATTGTTTATAATACATTAATTTTTGGGAACCTGCACTTTCTATTTTAGGATGTTATGAATCAACATGTCTCCTTGATTCATAGTTCTTCTGTTCTTTTCTCTTTTCTTCCTTGTGACAGCAAGTTATAAATTTCACCAGTGCAGGGTATTTTACAAAGCAGAAAACTAAGGCCTCTCTTCCAAAGGGCTTGCAGTCTAAAATTTTCACTGGGAAAAAAACAGATGAAGGACAGAAAAGTGGAAGTATCATTAACATGGAAGAAATATGACACTCTTTCAGTTGCATATGTTTATACTTAATTTATAGCATGGGTTGAAGTGGAATTTGAGAACTAGAGAATTGCAACTGAAGATTTATCATAAAAGATATTTTAAGAGAATGTTTTATAAAAACTAAGAGGTGTGTTGTCTCACTAGAGATGCTTTGGAAAAGAAGTCAAGGACAGCAAGGAAGAGAGAAAACAGTCTGAGAAAAGAAAAAAAGTTGTAGGTAACAATGGATACTGAACCAAAAGGAGGGACCACTGGAGTAAGGCCCAGGAGATATGAATCAGCAATCTCAAAAATTTTGCTATTTTGGCAGCAGCAGGTTGAGTGCATTTGAAAATATACAGATGATACAATGGAGCCTGCAACAATATTAGGGAGAGATTATTTGAGACTGAACTGATTTTTTTTTTTTGCCAAGGAGACAAAGGATATTTTTTCCCACTATTGTCAGACACAGAAAATCCCCAAATCATACCCCAGTGAGGCTCCAACTAGTGATGGGATTCTTTTTTTTTTAACTACCGGTTCTGTGGGCGTGGCTTGGTGGGCGTGGCAGAGGAAGGAAACTGTAAAATCTCCAGTCAGAGGTGGTATTTGCCGGCTCTCCAGACTACTCAAAATTTCCACTACCAGTTCTCCAGAACTGGTCAGAACCTGCTGAATACCACGTCTGGCTCCAACCCAGGGAAGGAAAGCTTCCGTTCACATACAATAACAAGCAGGAGGATAATCAGGGAAGCCCTGAATCATGGAGACCATTGCTTAAAGTGAACAAAAGAAGGCATAATCTAAATCTGAAAACAGCAAAAACATTAAGAATGAAGAGGTCAACAATAATTCCTAGACTACAGCACAATTCTGTTTTCAGTGTAGTTTATTCATCTTTTTTACAGAATACATGCTTTTGCATACCCCATTAATTTCCTCCTCCAATTTTACCAAACTTTCAATCTTGCCGGTTGTGCCTTCTTTAACTGCATGTACTTCAACCATCTTGTCTTTTGAGTTGCTACCAGTTTTACATTTAAAAAATATATGCAAGTGCTCATGTCACTAGTCTTACTACATCACAGTTCTTTACTGAAGACCTTTCTTTAATCCCATTGGTATGAGAGATGATTTAGAGATGAATCTCTTCTCCCCTCAACATTCCTAAATCCCAAGTGGCAGCTTCAGTGTTGAAGGGACAGGAATAAGCAGAGGAGATAAGAGACTGCATTGTTTCAGAAAATGATTTATACTCACATACTACTGCTATGGAAGGGGCTACTTCAAATGATCCCAATAGTTCACATACCACAGATTAGATCCAAACATTGAACAGAATCACCAAAACTTACTATGAACTTACTCAGATTCCTTGATTTTATAGGACCTACCCCAAATATTATATAATAAAAATCCAGATCCAATTCACTACTTTCTAACTGTCATAGAAATGTTGTAAAATGGATCAATGCTGCAGGCAAGAGGCCAGTTTGTTTGTTCAATGAGAGTAGAACCTATGGAAATTGTAAAGGATTGCTACATGTACTTTTCATTTTTCCTGTCTGCTTTACTCATTTTGAAGTGATGCAGAGAAAGAATGTTTAAAGCTGTCTTTCTTGGATTTAGCTACATATTTTACCTTATACAGATATAACCAAACAAGAGCAGAAGAATACCTTACTCCAAGGTCAATTTAGTTCTCTTCTAGGTAGTAATTATCTGTTGGATTTCACATATGATATATCTGGCCAGAGGTCATTAGCCTTCCAGTCTGGCATCCCTGAGATATGTTGGAATCATAACTGCCATAATTCAAAGCCTTTTGGCCATTCTGGTTGGGAAACCCAAAAGACATCATCCCAAAGTATGTAGAAGGTACTAAGTTAAAAAAAAGTTGCAATGTATTTACATAGTTCCCCGTTCCCATCTTTCCAATTTGCTCAGTGGCGGGAACCCCCCCCCCTTTCTTTTAACTTTTTCCAGAAAGAGTTTCAGGATTCGGGGATGCATATTTGAAAAAAATGGAGTGAGGTTTATTTATTTTATTTACTGGTGTTTAGTCCTCTTCTGTCACCATAAACTTTTCTCAAAAGCTTCACTTAATTACCAAAATACTTCTACCCAGGGAATTGTTTGCAGCAAAACTGAGAGTTAAAAACAACGACATTTTGTTGTCTTTTGTTTCCCCCACGCTTCCTTTGGGTACTAGCACCTTGATTTCATATTCACATTCCTTTTTTTTTTTTTTCCTATGACTTTTTCTGGCTTCTACCGTTTCCCATCCAATCGTCCAGAAGCAGATTTGCTTTTCCCCCTTTGCGTCCCCATCACTTAGCGGGACCTCCTGCCGCTCAGTCACATTTACTGAGCTCCCTCCAAGTCCTCAGCCTAAGAGCCTTCACTTTCAAAGTTCAGCTCGTGCTGCGCTCGTTTCTTTTTGCAAAGGAGTCCGAAAAAGCAGCCCGCTTTCCCAGGGAGAAGTCACGGGGACCCTGCTTTGGCTCGCCGACTCCCTTAGGCTACCTGGTCCCTGGATACCGGGAGCGCAATCCAGAAGGGAGGGCTGCTGGGAAGCCTCCGTCTGGAGAGAGAACGAGGGTGTCTCAAAGTTGACCCAAACGGGGTCTCCGCTTCGGAGTGGGACCTGAAAGCTCCCAGAGTCTATCCCGAGGATTGGCTTTCACGCCTCCTACTCCTCAACGACCCGTTTCCCGACTGTCTCCAGCGGCCCTTCATTTGAACCCTTCGATCGGTCAGTTCTGACCCGCTTCCACCCAACCCACCACCAACACTTACCCCATATGCAGGCAACTGTCAGGCGCCGTTGTGCTACTCTGTGGCTGCTGCGTTGCCGCCGCCGCCACTAGTGCAGCTACCCCCACCACCCCAAAAACGGGGGGGAGGAGGGAGCCAGAGAAATCGGGAGGGGAAGGAGAAGGAAGGAGGGACTTTTTAAAAGAAGAGCCCAAGGAAACCGACCAACTGCAGAACTTGTTTCTCTAACCTGAAACCCGGAGGTTGGGGTCTATCAGTCATCGTTAAGAGCCCCCTTGATGTCTCTCCACCCACCTCTTCCTCTCTCCACGTAGTAGAAGCAGTGCTTTCCTCCGCCTTTAGAGGAAAGTTTTGTCAGAGGGGCGAGCGGGGTGGAGAAGGAAGTCCAGGGGACTTTGGATGAGAACCAGGGACTAATACAAATTAAGTGGGCAGCGGGTTTGGAGAGATTACGAGAGACGGGATGGGGGGAGGCACGAAGTCCCCAGGAAGGGAAAATGGCTTGTAAAGAAGCGGGGAAAGGTTAGAAAAAGAATCGGGAGCGGGGGGGGGAGGGGGGAGGGGGTGGAAGACTGGAAATATTTCACTCTGGAATTGAAGAGGAGATTTCTAGTGAGGACAAACCCCATCCCTCTAAAGGCACTGGGCACAGTATCTCCCTGCAGAGAGCAAACCACAAGCACATATATCCCTTTCAACAATCAAAAGGCAAGTTGCACATATTGAAATAACGGAAGTGTTTTGTTTTTTTTTAATAATAGAAATAATTGAATCAGAAAAGAGAAAGGGAGGGATGCCAATCCGTACTGTGCAAGGTGATTTTAAGGAAAGAGTTAATGGAAGATACACTAAATTTTCATTTCACCGAGAAAGAAAAAGAACGGGTACGGAATTTAAAGTTAAAATTTGAGATAATTTTTTTAATATATCTTAGATGAAGAGAGGCTTCACACCAAACATTTTCAACCTGTAATTAAACAAAGGAGAAATAAAAGAGGGGGAATATAGATTTAGTCTAGTATGTTACAATACAAACCAACTACAAAAGGAAAAGAAACCATATCCCAATTAAAAAGATACCCATAATTGCCTTGGAGGTGGATCACTCACTTTTATTTCCCTGAGTAAAGTAGAACATATAAACATGTATTTTGTTAGCTTCACAAAAGAATGTTTTTCTGTTGCTTAATATAAGAAGAACACCAAATTTATTAAACAAAACAGGAGTTTCAAAGGAATAAAGGAGGCAGAAATTATTTGAATCATAAGGAGGCAAATTATTACTACCACCTGTGAATGCAGATAAACTGAAATATAGCCGAGTGATGGCATCATATTGGTTCATTTTTGAAAAATGGCTCATAGCTATTGCTGGTGAATATTCAGCTCTTTTGGTTTCATACAGAAAGTACAGAGTCCTTCATAGTGAAGATTTGGATATCAAGGAAACGTGACGATTTTAGTATCCAGGAAATGGAATAGACCAGTCACAACATCAGTACTTAGCAGCCTTGGCAGTAAGTTGTGTTGTTGCTCTAAGGCAGGGGTCCCCAAACTTGACAACTTTAAGACTTGGGGACTTCAACTCCCAGAATTCTCCAGCCAGCATAGCTGGCTGAGGAATTCTGGAAGTTGAAGTTCCCAAGTCTTAAAGTTGCCAAGTTTCGGGACTCCTGCTCTAAGGAATTCGGGTATTTAGGAGTCAGTCTAAAAAACAGTGGAAATAGGGTTTTGTCTCTTGAATTTTTAATGTGAGTACATAGAACCACTTACAACACCAATATATCCTTGCTTGGTTTTGATATTTCACTTATCTTCATTTATCTTATCCTGACTTGGATTATGAAAACCTGAGCTTGAAGAATGAGAGATCATCCCTTTTCAGCCTATCTTACTTTTGATCAACACAACTGAACAAAAATAATATGGTGGCTATTCTCTTTTACTATTCTTAAGTTTTTTATGGCAGAGATACATGGCAGAGTGATTATTAGAAGTGATCTCTGAACTCAGATATTATAAATTAGTCAGAATGACACCATAAACAAAAGCTTAAAGTAGAATCAGAAGAAACTTAGACAAAATAAATGAGTTCTTCCAAGGCAGTTTTTTGCTTTCCAGGCAACAGAGTTCTTAATACTTTGGATTACATTATTTAAATAACTTTGGAGGTGGAATAATTGATACATTGTTCAAGCAGTTCACCAGATCACCAACCCCAAAGCAATGTTTTCATGAATTGCATCTTGAATAGGTCTTCTCATGTCAGTGTTTGGAGCTTGGTTGAGAATTATTGGTTTAACCAATCTTTCAACCCCCCCCAAGCCCCCTCATTATCTTTTCTTCACACTTTTGCTGATAACCCAGTCTTTTGGTATGCTATCATTTGATAATACTGGGCTCAGTCATTGCTCAGCTCAAAAGCAAAATATGCATGTAATTACCAAAAGCTAGAGATAATTTTAAAAAATTCCACATTTAAGTAATAAAATACTTTTGCATGCTAGACATTTAAGTGATATATTAGAAAATGTTTTATTATCTTATGCATGTCACTCTCATTCCTCTGATCAAAACTTTGGTTATTATGCTTTCCCCATAATTGCAGAAAGCAGTTGTATAATCATAACCAAAAGGAAGCTGTTATTTTTGGATAGATATTTCCTGGGTGTGATGGATTAAAAACACTTAAAATAATTAAACGCCTCTGGCTTGACATATTCAGTTTGGATTCTGCTTATAAAGGAACACACCCAATGTGTATGTGTGTGTTTGTGTGAGTGCATATAATCTGCTGATCCATCCTTTTTTCTTTTTTCTTTGCATTATCTGGTTGTTTGCATGAGAATAAATAGCACAAACAATAGGAAGGAACATACTAGAACATCCTTCAAAGCTGTAATGAGTGATATAGGTAGAATGATACTGATTATGCTACCGTATTGAACTGTATTTCCAGAAGAAATCAACCGCAATATATATAGGCTTCTAGGTGCTCACTAAGAAAGAATTTTTTTAAAATGACCATAAGAGCATTAGTATTATGAATATTATTATTAACACGCTCTGATGCTAAGGAGTTCTAATCCTCCCCCCCCCACCTGAAAAGAAATTTGTTCCAAATGCAAAACACAAGCAGAGGAGAGGGGTTTCAGTTTCAGTTTCACAACAGCAAGCAGCTTTAGTACAGAATAGTTGAGCTAAGCCACACCCAGGCTCCTTGCTGTCTC